GAGCGAATACACTGCAGAAGGAGGAGGATATGTCAGAAGTGAAACGGCAGCGTCATGCCGCCATCGCGAGTAGGCTGTGTCAAGCCGCCCTTAGTGCCGAGGAGACCCCCACCCCTCCTCCGCCCTCCGACCACCTCCCCTCCTCGCTCGCTCCCTCTTCCCGAATGTGTCACGGAACTCCTGGGAGGCCAGGCTTAGGAATTCGAGACGTCCAAGGCCTCAGCAGAGGCCTGCTTCGATGCCTGAGGTCCGAGCTGTGTCGAGGACCGCTGTTTCTGACAGAGCCCAGCGTGGCTCGGGGTTTTCCGCGGGATGGAGCACGGCCGACCAGGACGCGGCTCTTCGGCTTCTTCCAGGTGCTTTGTGGCAGCGACTGTGAACAGTTGCCAGCCGCGAGATGCACGGTCGCGCATCGCAAACTTAAGCTTGGGTGTAGCCCGATCCTAGAGGCATTCGTGAGCGTGGGACGGACGACGCTGCCTCCGATGGGTTCTGATCTGATCGTATCATCATCATCAGCATCATCATTAGCATCATCAACATCATCATCATCATCATCATCATCATCAGCATCATCATCCTCCTCATCATCATCATCATCATCACCACCACCACCACCACCATCATCATCATCATCATCATCATCATCAGTATCGTCATCATCGTCATCACCATCGCCCTCCATTATTATCAGTACACTGATCATCATCATCAGCAGCAGCATCATCAGTCTCATCATCATCAGCAGCATCATCATCACCATCAGTATCGTCAGCATCGTCATCACCATCGCCATCATCATTATCAGTACAATCAACATCATCAGCAGCAGCAGCATCAGTCTCATCAACATCATCATCATCATCATCATCATCATCATCCTCAGCATCATCATCATCATCATCATCAGCATCATCATCATCATCGTCATTGTCATCATCATCATCATCATCATCATCATCATCATCATCATCATCATCATCATCATCATCATCATCATCATCATCATCATCATCATCATCATCGTCGTCAGCATCATCATCATCGTCGTCAGCATCAGCATCACTTCCACCATCACCACCATCCCCTAGTAACAATCATAATCCGAAGCAACCGTTCCTCGTACCTGAACAAGACGAGGCAATAACAATCATATCACTAGTAACCTCAACCTGAAAATGTACATCAGCATCAACATCATCACCAACATCAGCAGCAACATCATCATCAGCAGCATCGTCACCATCATCGTCAGCATCATCATCACCAGCAGCATCATGAGCAGCAGCAGCAGCAGCACCAGCAGCAACTCAGCATCAGCATCAGCATCGTCGTCGCTGTCGCTGCCACCGCATCAGTACCATCAACATCGTCACCACAACCAGCATCATCGGCAGCCGCAGCAACATCGTCAATAACACCATCAACATCCTCATTCTCATCAAGGCTCCCCCACCAAAGAACAGTCGCCATCCAAAATGCTGGCTGGCACGGTGACGGGACTTGCCGCAGGCAGCTGGATCTGGTGCCCCGTTGGCTTGCCACAGAGATGTACGACATCCCAAACTTCAGGACGTTGCTGGTCCGTTTTGGGAGGTTTCCGGGGGGGGGCCTTCGGGCTAATGCGCCAACCTCGCGGTAAGCCGCCGAACGTTCATATTCCGTCGGTCGTTCCACCCAAGACGGTCGCAAGCCAGCCTGCACGACGGTCAAGATGGTCCCCATGACGGCCAAGATGGCCCCAAGAGAGCCCAAAATGGCCGCAGCATGCACCCAAGACGACCCACGGTGCACCCAAGACGGCCCGAGATGGCCCCGAAGCTGGCACAAGACGGCTCAACAGGCCTCCACGGATCGGGGGAGGTGCCCTCCCCAAAATGCGGCGGGTGCCGCTCGCTCGGCGGCGGAAATCCGCGATTTCCTATGGGAACGGGACCCGTGGCGAATCCACGCCCCCTTGATCCATGTCTGCGATCGCCTGACTCTAAGAGAGGACCTTCAGGACGGCCCGGAGATCCCGAAATCGCTGATCCCCCTTGTGTGTAAAGGATTTGGGCGGTTGCTCCGTTGCAGCGCTCCGACGGCCCAAGGCAGCCCCAAAGGCCACCGAGATGACCCCACGAGCGTTAAGTCGGGCACGTCCCTCTACATCAGGAAGATTCAAAAATAGTCAAACAATAGTCTGGGAACGTTTGTTTTGACTAATTTGAGGTGTTTTCTTGAATAGTGTTTGACCTTTCATTTCTCGTCAAAAATCCCCCTTCAGGAGCACATGCCCGACCGAACACGAGCGCCCAAGAAACCTCCGAGGTGCACCCTGGCGGCCCAAGAGGCCCCCAAGACGGCCCCCAGGAGGGCCTCAAGACGGCCCAGCCACAGGTTGCCTCCAAAACGGCCCCGAAGCGCTCCCAGAAGGCCCCAAGTATGCCTGGAGATGTCCCCAAGACGGCTTCCGACGGCGTCAGACTGGCCAGAAGCGCCCTCAGACGGTCGAAAAGCATCCCAAGGAGCTCCCAAAGGCCGCCAGGAGGCTGTAGGAGGCCTCCAAGAGGCCAATCAGAGGCCCCCAGGAGGCGCCCATGAGGCCCCGAGAGTGCCCCGAAAGTACCCAAGAATCGTCCTCCTCCTCCTCCTCCTCCTCCTTGTTTTTCTCCTCCTTTTTCCTCCCTCGTCCTCTTTCCCCTCCTCCCAAGTGTTCCCCGACGGGGCGTGGCCGAGCTCTGGATGCAACGCTCGGACGCAGATGCGCCTCCGAAAAGCAAGGGGGCGGTGGTGCTTCGCCGCAAGTATCTCCGATATGGCTTACGGATATGCCGCCCGTCCAAGTGCACACACACATACACACACACACACACACACACACACACACACACTTTTTCCCGTCGACGGCGAGGCAGAAGAGCTGCACCAGCGGAGGGCGATCGGGGCGACCGAACCGCGACTTGGCCGGCGTGCAGGGGGGAGGGACAAGACGGACAGTGTCCGGCCGCGGGGGACGGGAGGAGGCGGAGGGCACTCCGACGCGGAAGCCTTCCGTGAAGAGTTGGGCCGGCGCGGCCAGCAGCGACGGCGGGGACCCGTGGCAGCAGCCGGGCCGCGGCGCCGGTGCACCCACGGGCGCTGCCAGTGCTCAGCACGGGGCAGACCAAGTGCACACACACACACACTTTTTTAAACAAGCGCGAAGACGCCCTGTGGCGAGGAGGGGAAAGGGAGGGGGAAGGAAGGGGGGGGAACCGACAGAGCAGCTCAGCCCGGAGCTGCTGTAACACACACACACCCACACACACACACACACACACACGCACACACACACACACACACACACGCACATGCACACGCACACACACACACACCACCACCGTGTCCACAACCGCCTGCGAACGTCTGAAGATCTGCACGCTGCCCAAGCGCGCCGCTCCCGCTCCCACTCTCGGACGGAGGTTCGCTCTCCCGTGCCGAGGGCCGCTGCAGCCCAGTGGGCGTGGACAGCTGCAGCTCGGTGGTGGGAATCTACACGACGAACTCGCTGATACGGGCTGGCGGAGTACAGTCCGCCCGTATCCTAAGGATGCGCGATAAGGATGCAAAGGCCTTGCAAGCCATTTTCGAAGCTCTTCGAGCGGGGTGCGGCCAACGAAATCGGCCAAGGATGGGACGAGGAAGCAAGGACGCAAAGGGTACCCTTGAGACGGGTGCCCATCCTTACCATGCGGGTCGACTGTATACAATCGGGTTTGGTCGGAGACGGCACGCGAGAGGACACAGGACCTTTCCGCCTTAGGAGTGTAGAAGGTACGGGTCGCGAAACACGGGACACAAGGATACCCTGGATGTGGCAGTGCCGACCAGCTAATCAAACTCGACTGTACACGACGAACTCGTTGACGCTGACTGGCGTAGTGCATAGCTCGGTGATGCAGTTTTGTAAGGCGCACTCGTTGGGGCCACCTGAGAGCGTCGCTCGCTGCGTCCCTACGTCCCAGAATGCTCTCAAAGCGGGCAGGCCGGAGGCATCTACACGCCACCACCGTGCCCGGCCAGGTCCATCCTGGGCCATGGCATGGTAAGTACGCCCTCCTCGCAGAGGCCAGAAGGGCCTGCCCAGACCCCCGACGATGTGATCTATTCACAACGTCGACCCCAAAGGTCTGGACCCCTTCACCAGGACCGGTTTTTCGTCCTGAGCCGTTCTCTGACAGCCCCGAGGCCCGGTGATGACTACCTACCAGACCACCCCAACCCAAACCGAAGACCCGAATTTGACCCGAATTTCGGGTTGGGGGGGGTACGGATACCATGTGTTTTTTCAACGTTCCCCGACCCCCCCCCACTGGAAATCGAGGATAAATTTGGGCCTTCGGGTTGGGTTGGGGTGGTTTGGTGGGTGGTGAGGTGAGGGCCCCCGGAGACCGACAACAGTGCAAGACCTCCCGCCGTGATTGTTGTCACAGCGCGAGGAGGTCCGGGTGTGCGCCATCTTGGGAGCCAGGATGGCTCTGGCAGGACCCTGGCGGGGCGCGACGGCTCCCCAGGCGCGGGGCGCCCGAGGCCGCCGGGGGCCGAGGCCACGGGGACGCCGCCCGGCAGCCCGGCTGCCGCCCGAGCAAGCAACCACCTCCCAACGGGCGGCCCGTGCAGCGGGTCCGCGGCCCCTCCGCAGACAGGAGGAAGGGGGGGGGACGCCTGGGGGGAGCACAAGCAACGAGGGGAGGAGGAGGAGGAGGAGGAGGAGGAGGAGGAGGAGGAGGAGGAGGAGGAGGAGGAGGAGGAGGAGGAGAAGAGAAGGAGGAGGAGGAGGAGGAGCAAAAGGAGGAGGAGGAGGAGGAAGAGGAAGATTTTGTTGTGTTCCCTCTGTGGACGTCGAGCATGCCAGTTGCGAGGAGGAGGAGGAGGAGGAGGGAATCCTTCAAAGTCGGGAACGGGGCCTCGGCGGCGCTGCTCTTGCTGCAATCCAGGAGGGAGAGGCCGGGCAAGTCGGCCAGGCGGGTGTTCCTCGGCTTTGGCCCGCGCGGGGCGGCGGCAATGGTTGCGGCATCATCGTGCTCCCGTCGCGTCCCTGTCCTCGTCCTCATCGTCCTTCAGCGCCTCCCCGTCCTCGTCCACCTCGTCCTCCCTCCTCCCCTCGTCCTCCGCCCCCTCCTCCCCTCAAATTCTCGGCTCGAGCCCTCCGTAGCCCTCGGCCGGTCCATGATAAACAAGCCACTCGCCAGCACGAGGATCACTACACCTTTGGTTACCCCTCCGTGAAGGCCTGGAACTGTCCATAACCAACGAGGGAGGGAGGGGGCGAAGTAGGGAATGGGCAGGGAGAGAAAGAAAGAGAGAGAGAGAGAGAGAAAAGAGAGAGAGAGAGAGAGAGAACAAAAGAGAGAGAGAGAGAGATTGAGAGAGAGAGAGAGCGAGAAGAGAGAGAGAGAGGGAGAGAGAGAGAGAGAGAGAGGAGAGAGAGAGAGAGAGAGGGGGAGAGAGAGAGAGAGAGGGAAAGAGAGATAACAAAAGAGAGAGCGAGAAACAAGGTGGAACGTAAGAGACAGGGGGATATATATATATATATATATATATATATATGTGGGGGCACAACAACGATGGACACATAAAGAACAGCGCGAGAGGTAGGGGGAAACAAATGAGAGAACGAGAGAGACAAGCAGAGAAATTTGAAGAGAACTACAAAGAGACATAGACACATAAAACACGGATACCGAAACAGAGAAACAGAGAGACGTATAGAGAGAGAGAGAGAGAACAACAACATAAACAACAAACTCAACACGAGAGGGAACGAGGTACGGAAATCCTGACATAACACACGAGAGAGAGAGAGGAACAACAAGCGAACGCGCGAGAGAGAGAGAGAGAAGCAAGATGAGAGAGGGAGAGACAGAGAGAGAGAGAGAGAATAATAACAAAGAAACACCACAAAAAAACATACCAAAAAGAGAACGAAGGGGCAGGGCACAAATAATACGGCATGAGCACACGAGAGAGCGGGAGAGAACGAGGTGGCAGGGCACAGAAAGCACAGCATGGGGGGAGCAAGGGGCCAATGGGGGCAAGCAAAAGCCCTTATCCGGAAGCGACTGAAACCGGGAGGTTATCCAAGACTTAATTCCGGAGTTAAGTCGGCCCGACTCCGGGATAAAGGCCACCCCGCGGAAAACTTAACTCCGGAGTTAAATCGCCGCCAAGCTGGCGGACGCAGCAGCTATTACACGAATTAACTCCGGAGTTAAGTGATTCCCACGCCGCGCGCCCCAGCCAGGCACAGCCTTAACTGCGGAATTAAGTCGCCGCGGCATTGGGTTGGGTGCCGCGACGATTGAGAGGACAGGAAGTGGAAGAGGAGGAGGAGGGCGACGACGAGGAATATGAGGAGGAATGAGGAGGACGAGGAGGAGGAAGAGGAGGAGGAGGAGGAGGAGGAGGAGGACAGGCTAGGTGCCTTCGCGTCATATATGACATCCTACCCCTCCCTCCCATCCCTTACCATGGCGTAGATTCCCTCTCTACTCGCACAGGCGGATGTCGAGCAGGGCAATGATCCCGAAAGGGTACGCGATGCATTGTAGAGCACGGCGTGGCATGGCGTAGAAGAGCACCGCAAAGCTTAGTATGTCACAGCATGGCGTGGCGTGGCGCGGTGAAGAATTGCATCGCAAAGCTTTGCAACGCAAAGCGTGGCATCGCACAGCGGCCCCGAACATAACATTGCATAGCATGGCGTTGAAGATCTAAGCGTAGCATGGCAGAGCACGAGGCGGCACTTAAGCACTGCATATCACAGCTTCAGCTGAAGGCATGGCATCGCGCAGCGGAACGCAACCTAGCATTGCATTGCACGCCGTGGCATGGCAAGGGAAATGACGCCAGCGCTGCAGCGGGAGCACGATTCGGAACGAGCGGAAGCGCGGAAATGAGGCCAGCGCCGCAGCGGGAGCACGATTCGGAACGAGCGGAAGCACGGAAATGAGGCCAGCGCTGCAGCGGGAGCACGATTCGGAGCGAGCGGGGCCCGAAAACGAAGCCGGCGCCTCAGCGAGAGCAGCACTTTGAAAACATACGCAGGCGAAAACCCAACTCCTGGGAATCCTGCGCGTAGAAAAACAATACGCGGAGGGGGGGAGGGGGGGCGAACGCTCCCAACCCGTCGTCAGGGGAAGGAGGATAGTAGTATTCATATTGAATAATTGTGGAGGAGGTGGGGGAACATCAGGGCACGGGGAGCCGAACGCCGCAGGGGCGCGACTGCGGCCACGCGCCCGGGTCGCCGCCGAGCTCCACCTCGCCCCCGCCCCCCCTTTTTTAGGCGGGCGCGATGCGCAGACTGCTTCCCGCCAATCGCAAAGCAAAACTACGGAGTGAGCGAGGTGCGCCGACAACGACGAAGCATGCGAAGAGTCTGGGAAAATAATCAAAATCAGACACGCTTCGATGCTCGCCGACCTTCGCCCCCCCCTACCCCCCCCCCCCCCCCTAGCCCGACTACAAAGGCCCTGGGCGCTGGATCCGCTCTCACTTCCGGCGCCTCTTCGGGCATGGCTCGTCGCCTGGCCTGGCGTCGGGCCCGCCGGCGCCGCCACCGTCGCCCGGGGGGGCCCCCGGGGGGGCGGCGCCGCCGTCGCCCGGGGGGGCGCCCGCCGACTCCGCGCCGTCGAAGTGCAGCTGGTCGACGCTACAAACGCGGACGGCGGGCTGCCACCGCGGCGCAACCAGCGGGCGCGGAGCGGGCGACGGCCGCGGCCGACTGCGACCCGCCCCCCCCGGCAATATGCTGGAAGCTCTAAAACTTGTCTGCGTGCTAAACCTTCCAGAAGAAATCGCCGAGGGGCCCCAGTGTCTCGAGGTGCGTCGGCCAAGCCCGACTGAATTTGGTCATAGTATGCGAGGCGACCAATGGGGGGCGGCGCGCGGCGCGAGGGCCCGCGGCCGCCGCAGCGACGCGCTCGGCACGCGCGAATCCATGGAAACTAAGCCAGCCGCAACGACCTGTCGATGCACGTGGGCGGCTCGATGTCGCGGCAGTAGGCGCCCACGTCACCCTCGACGTCAGAGATCATGACCTCGGACCTCGGGCGCGAGCGGAGCGGGCGGGGGGTTCTCGCGCGCCCCCGCCCCCGGGCGCGCCCGACGCCGCGCGCGCGCGCGAATCGCAGAGCCCGCGAGAACCCTGCCGGCTGGTGTTTGCGCGAATGGTTGCGTTGCCGGCTGCGCTGGCGGTTGCGCTGGCCGCCGCGCTGGCTGTTGCGGCGGCCGCGCTGGCGGTTGCGCTGGTGGTTTGCTGGTGGTTGCGACGGCGGTCGTGCTGGACGCGATGTTTTTTCCCCACATGCTTGGTGGGGTTGTGGCTTTCTTCTTTGCCGCGGCGCGCCCGCGACTCCCCCCGAGCGCACCGCGCCCGCGACTCACACAGCATAGCGCAGCACAGCACAGCACAGCACAGCAGGCAGCAGCACAGGCCAACACAGCACAGCACGTCCCAGTGGTCCCCATATCCGTTGCGGGCTCGCAAAGCGTGGAAAGCGTGGCAGTTCCTCGACACCGCAAGGGGTGCGCTGGGGGGTGGTCTCCCTATCCGTGTAGGGGGGTGCGCAGGGGGTGGTCTCCAAGCGAGGCGTCTATGCGGGCCATGGCGCAGGGCGCGGGGCAGGTGCGGCACTTTCTCGACCTCGTAGGGGGCGCGCAGGGCGTCTATGCGGGCCATGGCGCAGCGCGTGGCAGGTGTGGTACTTTCTCGACGTCGTAGGGGGTGCGCTGGGGGTGGTCTCCGAGCGCGGCGTCTATGCGGGCCACGGCGAAGGGCGGGGCAGGTGTGGCACTTTCTCGACTTCGTAGGGGGTGCGCAGGGGGTGGTCTCCGAGCGCGGCGTCTAATGCGGGTCATGGCGCAGGGCGTGGCAGGCGTGGCACTTTCTCGACCCCGTAGGGGTGCGCAGGGGGTGGTCTCCGAGCGCGGCGCTTATGCAGGCCACGGCGCAGGGCGCGGCAGGTGCAGCACTTTCTCGACCTCGTAGGGGGTGCGTGGGGGGTGGTCTCCGAGCGCGGCTTCTATGCGGACCATGGCGCAAGGCGTGGCAGGTGTGGCACTTTCTCGACATCGTAGGGGGTGCACAGGGGGTGGTCTCCGAGCGCTGCGCTTACGCGGGCCATGGCGCAGGGCGTGGCAGGTGTGGCACTTTCTCGACCTCGTCGGGGGTGCGCAGGGGGTGGTCTCCGAGCGCTGCGTCTATGCAGCCATGGCGCAGGGCGTGGCAGGTGCGGCACTTTCTCGACGTCGTAGGGGGTGCGCAGGGGGTGGTCTCCGAGCGCGGCGTCTAATGCGGGCCATGGCGCAGGGCGTGGTCGTGGTAGTTCTCTACCTTGTAGGGGGTGCGCAGGGAGTGGTCTCCGAGCGCGGCGCTTATGTAGGCCACGGCGCAGGGCGCGGCAGGTGCGGCACTTTCTCGATCTCGTCGGGGGTGCGCAGGGGGTGGTCTCCGAGCGCGGCGTCCATGCGGGCCGCGGCGCAGGGCGTGGCAGGTGCTGCACTTTCTCGATCTCGTAGGGGGTGCGCAGGGGGTGGTCTCCGAGCGCGGCGTCTATGCGGGCCATGGCGCAGGGCGTGGTAGGTGTGGCACTTTCTCGACTTCGTAAGGGGGCGCGCAGGGGGCGGTCTCCGAGCGCGGCGCTTATGCGGGCTATGGCGCAGGGCGTTGCAGGCGTGGCACTTTCTCGACCTCGTAGGGGGTGCGCAGGGGGTGGTCTCCGAGCGCGGCGTCTATGCGGGCCATGGCGCAGGGCGTGGCAGGTGTGGCGCTTTCTCGACCTCGTAGGGGGTGCGCAGGGGGCGGCCTCCGAGCGCGGCGTCTATGCGGGCCATGGCGCAGGGCGTGGCAGGCGTGGCACTTCCCTCACCCCGTAGGGGGTGCGCAGGGGGTGGTATCCGAGCGCGGCGTCTATGCGGGCCACGGCGCAGGGCGTGGCAGGTGTGGCACTTTCTCGATCTCGTAGGGGGTGCGCAG